CTCTCTTCATCCAACCACCCTTTCCGCTCATACTGCGCTTCGTCTCTACACGCCGCACCGCTCGCGATTCGCACGCCAACAACGCTCGCTATTACTTGAAGCCGCCGCTACGCCATCGTCACCAGCATCAGTCCGCTTACCCAGCTCGATCCCGCCTGTGCTGCATGGAACCGTGGGCATGTTCTCCGTAGCGCTGCGCTGCCACGGCAGACGATGTCGCCCGTCCGACTACTCGGCCCTGGCGACGTGCGGCCTCGGCAATGCGATCCCGCGAGCGACCTTTACAGCGCCCTCTCCTCTCGTCAGGACGCAGCTGAGGACGGCGGCCCAGGCAGCCAACGGCACGTGGCGCCCGGTTTCTGTGCTTGACGAGTACGTCCAAACATCGCCTTGCTCTGTCATTATCACAATATTTCCTTTTCAAAAGCTCCTGTAATAATGCGAGCGCATGCGCTAATGCTGTTGTCGCCTTGTCTGATAGATGGGTTGCGAAAGAGGCCCGCCCCATCAGCTTGCGCCAGCTGATGGTCTTTGGACGCTCCCTCACCGAGTCGCGACTCATCAGCTCTGCAAACTATGTTCGAACCGAACTCCCAGTCAGGTATACATTGCAGGCCGCTCTCAATTCCACTTTACGTCCAGTTTGCTGACCCAGGCTGTCGCATCCGCAGAATTGCGCATCGCATCCGCGACATGCAAAAGCTCCCCTACGTCGTCGTAACAAATCGCCACATTGAAGAAGTCTACAAGCTCTACTACAACGCCTTTGACACTTTCCGCAAGGTCAAGGAGATTCGAACGCTCGAAGACAATGAAAAGTTCTGCGAAATCATCAGCCAGAATCTCAAGGGCCACCTGACCGTCATCCCCAAGCTGGCCATGGGCATTCTCGAGTGCGGCGGCCTGATGGATCCCAAGGAGCTGGACCACTTCATGAATGTCATCCTCCGATCGGTAAGTCGCAGTTGTCCCCCTCCCTGGTCAGCGCTTCAAAAAAAAAAGGGGAAAGAAACAACAGAAAAAGCTGACGGCGAGGGATCCACGTAGCGCATCTCCCGTCGAGTCATCGCAGAGCAGCACCTGTCCCTTACAGAGACGTTCAACTCTCCCTACTTCTCCCCCGGCGCGACGCTTTCCGAGTCCGACTTCATTGGCGAGGTCTTCATCAAGTGCTCCGCCAAGGATGTCATCAGCCGCTGCGCCAAGGCCGTCACGCAGCTCGCCCGCACTACCAACGGGCCCGACGTGCAGGTGCCCGAGGTGCGCATCGACGGCCACCTCAACGCCAGCTTCCCCTACATCCTCAGCCACCTCGAGTACATTGTCGGCGAGCTCCTGCGCAACTCGGTCCAGGCCGTCATCGACCGCCACCAGAAGCAGCCCGACCACGCCTCGTCCCCGCCGCCGCCCATCGAGGTCACCATCTGCGAGGCCCAGGAGCACGTCATCATCCGCATCTCGGACCGCGGTGGCGGCATCCCCCGCGACGAGCTGCCCTACCTCTGGTCCTTCAGCAAGGGGCCCCTCAGCCAGAAGCGCCTCGAGAACCTCGGACAGGTGCCCCGGATGGCCGCCACCATGCAGGAGCTCCACGTCACCGACGAGCTCGGCCGCGCCGACCTCAAGGCCCCGACCTACCTCGGCTCCCTCTCCACCCTCACCAGCCGGCCTCCCAACCTGCGCCTCGGCATGGGACTTCCCCTGAGCCGCGTCTACGCCGAGTACTGGGCCGGCTCGCTCAACCTGCACAGCTTGGAGGGCTACGGCGTTGACGCCTTCTTGCAGATTTCGAGGCTGGGCAACAAAAACGAGCAGCTCACGACAAGAGCTAGCATGGACGCTGTTTGATTTTTTTTTTCTTTCCTTTTCCCACTTTCTGTGCTAGCAGACTTCTTCGCTCTTGAGTGGTTCGAGTTGGATATTCTCTTGGAACTGGGAGGGAAGGGAATGGGTGTCATCTAAGCAGGCGATATGGATCGGGAGGGATCCATTAACTTTTTCTCTGTTTTTCCTTTTTTTCTTTTTTACTCTTGCCTTTTCTCTCTTCACGACCTAGGTATCACAGTATAGTATACCGATCTGCTTTTCTCGGAGTTTAGGTTAGGAGTCTGGTTGGGGATTATACTGGCTTTTCGTCTCCTGTTTAGCTCGCCATTAACACCACCCTACCAACAAACACTCAGGAGCGGCAATATCATGAATAAGAGATGCGGCTCTACCAAACTTCAACGCGCCACTACATCGCCTTGTGAAAGTGGTATCTCAACTGACTCAATTACATAGGACTAGAAAAATGTGCCTAACTGGAAATGGGAGTGCTCAAATAAAAGAGGAATAAAATAGGGCTACATTATCAAAACTTCCAGCACTTGCCCTTTACTCAGTAACTTGCTGGTGTTGGGCTATGGCCATGACATGATGCTTTGTTCCGCCGTCAAGCATCAGTCCCCCCATCGCAACAGTTCCGGCACCAGAACTGAAACAAGACACACACAAAAAAAAAAACTGAAACGCAAGCCTTCTCCTCGACAACTCGTCAAAAGATCTTCGCCTCCCGTAGCAATAGCTGATTAGAATATGCATGAAATAAAGCGCCGTGGGTGATGCGGCAGTTCCATGTTCAACCTCTTCGCGGACCGTAACGGTAGCCGGGGCGAGGTGGAGCGAGGAAACCCGACATCATGACACTCCAACGCCAGCATTGCGCGACAAACCAAAGTCACCATCAGAGACAACTTATCGGCGGCCGTGGCTTCGGACGGCGCCTCCCTGCATGGCCTCGAGCTCATTCTCCAGCTGCTTGATCTGGGCGTGGGTCTGCTCGAGATCCTTATTGAGACGATCGCGCTCAGCAATGAGCTTCTGTTCCCATTGTCGGAAGCGCTGCTCCTCGACCTTGACCTGCTCAGTGAACCGCTTCCGCAGAGCCTCCTCCTCCTCCTTGAACTTGGGGTTGTCGAGCTTCCGGGGCCGGGCCTCGCCAAACTTGCGCGTCTCCATCTGCTGTGCGCGGTAGGCTTCGTAGTGCTGCTCCTCGGTCGTGTGGATGAGGTCGAGCATGTGGGTGCGGATCAGGATGGATCGCACCTTCTTGAAGTCGCAGTGCTCCTCGTTCTCGACCTCGGCCACACCCCACGAGTACTGACGGCCCTTGACGATGCGGCCATCGCTGGTCTTGACATCCTTCTCGGAGCCGATGACGGCAAACGGCATAGCGGCCATAAGGCTACGCGCGTGCTGGGCGGCAGCCTCGTCATCCTCCTCGATCGGGGGCTGGTAGATCTTGATGTTCTGGGCCTCGATGACGCTGACAATCTGTTTGTGTTTGTGTTAGCAAGGTGTGCCTCCAGAACGCGACGTGGTGTTGCTCTATCCATACCCTCTGCTTGAACTTGGCAAGATCGGCCGGGCTGAGAGTATCAGCCTTGGCAATGACGGGGATCAGGTTGACTCGTGAGCAGAGACGCTTCATGACCTCGATATCCAGGGGCTTCAAGGTGTGGCCGGTGGGGCGGATGAAGTACAGGCAGGCGTGGACACGGAGATCGATCTTGTCCTGGCGGCGCGGCTGCTGCTCCTGGAGCATGTAAGACTCGTGCTGGTCGTCGAGGAACTCGATGATGGGCTGCCAGGAGTCGCGGTTGTTGACATAGTCACCGAATCCGGGAGTGTCGATGACGGTCAATCGAACTAGAAACGGCAGAAGATATCATCTTAGCATACCCTGTGGTGAAAAGAAGGAAAAAAAAAAGGCACGCCTCCAGTGGGCAGCTATCCCTTACCCTTGAAGAACTTCTCCTCGAGCTCGGCCTTGGTGATCTCAATCTCGACCGTCTTGTCGACCTGCTTCTGGTGCCTGCGCTTGTGATCGGCGTAGTTCTTGATGGTCGTGGAGAAGAGAGTGTTGATGAAGGTCGTCTTGCCCAGACCAGACTCGCCAGCAACCTGGAAGGAGAGCCATGCGTGTTAGTGTATCCGACAAGAAGCTCGCACGATCACGCAGCAGTGACGCGTTTGCGCACTGCAAACGCCACGGACAATCGCGTACCATGATGGTGAAGCTCGCTCCACGCTTGGCGACAATCTTGTGTCGCTGGTTGGGCAGATTGGCAATGCCAATCGGCGAGGCGCTCTCAGCAGCGGCGGGAGCCATCTTGCACACGTGGAGGGGCTACGGAGTGAGGTCTTGAGGGAGCTGGAGGTAAGGTGTCAGAGAGGCAAACGAGCGGCGAGGACAGCTGCGAGAGGATTGATGGCTACTGAGGTGAGAGCAGGAGGGCGCAGACAGGAGGAAAGATGTTGTCGGGTGGCCGTTGGCGGGTGGTTGGACAGAGCAGAGTGGAGGTTCCAACGTGCTGAGCTCGAGCCGTTCAGGGGACACAAGGGGATAGACGGGATCAAATAGAAGGGGTTGAGGCGGTCGTATTCCCCCAATTTTGCACTGAGCCAAATTGGCCAGGGGCTGCTGCGCGCTGATAGGCGGGCTGGCGGATTGGGCTTAGCGGGCTGGTGCGACCAGGGGAGCACGCAGCCAGAGCAGGAGCAGAGGCGGTCGGTCTCCTTTTTTCCCGGGGCGTGCCTGCCGTTTGCTGTCTGGTGTTGCTTTACTGCAGTTGCGTTGGAGCATGAACGTGAAGGACCGGGAAGAGTGATGAAGGAGCTCGACGATGTCGACAGTACCTGGGGTTTGCGCTTGTGAATGTGCCGTTGCGGGCTGGGTCAAGGTACCCGCTACCTAACGTGTCCAGCCTAAGATGAGGTGGCCTGTGCACTCCCAGTATTACGGCGTGGTCCTTACCTCTTCGAGCTTAGGCGAAGAGGAACTGGAAAAAGAATCTGCCGAACTTTAAGCGGTGGCAGCAGAGAAATGGAAGAGGAAAAAAATGGCCCGTATCGATAAGAAAAGTCGCAGCTTTTTTTCTTTGTTGCGACGACGGCAGATGGTATTCGAGCTTCACCTCATTGTACCTCAGCTATAGGGTCATGGCAATTGGTCGACAATGAAGACTGACTTTAGGGTATGTCGAAGATTTCTTTTGGAGCGCCGTCACGGTTGCTTTATCTAGCCAATTCTGTCTCGATTGATGCGCACATGCAACCAACAGTGCCGACGATACGATACGCAACAACATGGTCCAGATGGATATGTAGGATCAACGACTGACTGATGGATCTCCTAGTTCTCCAACTTGCTGGGCACAGTCTACTGCCAGGGCAACTTGGCCTTCAGTCCCGATGGCACTCATCTCTTCTCGCCCGTCGGCAACCGCGTGACCGTCTTCAACCTGGTCGAGTAAGTCATACCGGCGCATATGCGACCAGACAGAGGCCGACGGCTAACCTCGACGCAAAACAGCAACAAATCCCACACCCTCCCATTCGCACATCGAAAGAACATTGTTCGAATAGGCCTCTCCCCCCGCGGCAACCTCCTTCTCACGGTTGACGAAGACGGCCATGCGATCCTGACCAACGTCCCCCGCCGCGTATTCATCTACCACTTCTCCTTCAAGTCGCAGGTCACAGCGCTCTCGTTTTCGCCCTCAGGCAGATACTTTGTGGTGGGATTGGGGCGCAAGGTGGAAGTCTGGAACGTGCCTTCGACCCCCGATACCAATGCCGACGGTGCACTCGAATTCGCTCCCTTTGTCAAGCGCCGAACCCTGACCGGCCACTTCGACTCGGTCCAGCATATCGAGTGGTCCAGCGACTCCCGGTTTTTCTTGACAGCTTCCAAGGACTTGACAGCAAGGATATGGAGTGTGGAATACGAAGAAGGCTTTATTCCTACCGTCCTCGGTGGCCACAAGCAAACCGTCATCGGCGCTTGGTTCTCCGGTGATCAGGAGACCATCTACACTGTCAGCAAGGATGGTGCGGTTTTCGCCTGGAAATACGTCAAGCCTCTGAACTCAACAAAGGATGAGAATAAAATGGAAGACGATGACGACAGCGACGACGACTCGGATATGAGATGGCGGATCGTGGAGCGACACTACTTCATGCAAGGTAGCGCACATGTACGATGTGCCTACTTCCATGCGGAAACAAATCTGTTAGTCGCCGGAATGTCCAATGGTCTCTTCAGCCTCTACGAGATGCCCGACTTCAACAACATTCATAAATTGAGCATCTCTCAGAGCGACGTCGACTTTGTGACGATCAACAAGAGCGGAGAGTGGCTGGCCTTTGGCGCTTCGAAGCTGGGCCAGCTGCTGGTTTGGGAGTGGCAGTCGGAGTCGTACATTCTCAAACAACAGGGGCACTTTGACTCAATAAACTCTCTCGTCTACTCACCAGATGGCCAGCGAATCATCACCACGGCTGACGATGGCAAGGTCAAGGTGTGGGACATTGAGTCTGGTTTCTGCATCGTGACATTCACAGAGCACACCAGCGGCGTCACAGCTTCCGAGTTTGCCAAGAAGGGAAACGTTCTCTTCACATCAAGTCTGGACGGTTCAGTCAGAGCATGGGATCTCATCAGATATCGAAACTTCCGAACCTTTACGGCCCCGACAAGGCTTTCCTTCACATGCATGGCTGTCGATCCCAGCGGCGAAGTGGTAGCGGCCGGTTCGCTGGATTCGTTCGACATTCACATCTGGTCGGTGCAGACCGGACAGCTGCTTGATCGGCTAGCCGGCCATGAAGGCCCTGTATCTTCGCTGGCATTTACGCCGAACGGCAACTCCTTGGTGAGCGGAAGCTGGGACAGGACGGCGCGGATATGGTCCATCTTCAACAGGACGCAGACGAGCGAGCCGTTGCAGCTGCAGGCCGATATCCTCGACATTGCCGTCCGACCGGATTCTCTCCAGTTGGCCGTCTCCACGATTGATGGCCAATTGACCTTTTGGTCAGTATCCGAGGCTGAGCAGACGGCGGGCCTCGATGGACGTCGCGACGTATCCGGTGGCCGGAAAGCATCCGATCGACGGACTGCGGCCAACATTGGCGGCAACAAGAACTTCAGCACGATCCGATACAGCACCGACGGAAGCTGCCTGCTCGCCGGCGGCAACAGCAAATACATCTGCCTGTATTCCGTGTCGACCATGGTTCTGCTCAAGAAGTTCACCGTCAGCGTAAATCTGTCTCTCTCGGGAACGCAAGAGTTCCTCAACAGCAAGCTCCTGACCGAGGCGGGCCCCATGGACGACATCGACATGCAGGGAGAGGCCTCGGACCGCGAGGACCGCATCGACAAGAGCCTGCCGGGGTCGAAGCGCGGCGGGGATCCATCAGCAAGGAAGCGCAGGCCCGAGGTCCGGGTCACGGGCGTCGCGTTCTCGCCCGCCGGCACGGCCTTTTGCGCCGCCTCGACGGAAGGCCTGCTCATCTACAGCCTGGACCACACGCTGCAGTTTGACCCCTTTGATCTCAACATTGAGATCACGCCTGCGTCGACTCTGGCGGTGCTGGAGAAGGAAAAGGACTACCTCAAGGCGCTCGTCATGGCCTTCCGTCTCAACGAGGCCGGCCTCATCAAGAGGGTCTTCCAGGCGGTGCCGCCCGCCGACATACCCCTGGTCGTGGCGAACCTCCCCATCGTGTACGTCCCGAGGCTGCTCCGCTTCGTCGCCGCGCAGACGGAGGAGTCGCCGCACCTCGAGTTCTGCCTGCTGTGGATCAAGGCGCTGGTCGACAAGCACGGCGCCTGGCTGACGGCCAACCGCGGCAAGGTGGACGTTGAGCTGCGCGTGGTGTCGCGCGCCGTCGCCAAGATGAAGGACGAGATCCGGAGGCTGGCGGACGAGAACGTGTACATGGTGGATTACCTGCTGGGGCAGGCGGACAAGAAGGACGACGGCAAGGGCGGCGCGAATGGCGACGTGTATCTGACGAGCGCGCAGCAGAAGACGGTCGATGCTATCATGAATGGCACGGCGGAGGCGGGCGGCGAGTCTGACGACGACGACAACGACGATGGGGAAGATGAGTGGATGGGCATGGAGTAAATGTGATATTTTGTGTGTGTTTTGGATAGTACATAGGCATTAAATGGGTATGTTTTACATCAGATTTAGAGCAAATAATGTACAAAAATGGAACATGATCAAAACATGGTCAACCCCAAGCATCCCATACACAGCTCTTCCCACGGATATTTTTCCGCCCCGCCGCCCCCTATTCTGCCTTGGGCACGTCCTCCCACGCCTCATCAAACCCAGCCGACCTCACCCACATTGACGCCCCAAACCTCCCCTCCCTGCTCTCCAGCAAAAGCCGATGCACATTCAACCACGTCTCCTCATCCGCGAACCGAATCCACGGCCTGTCCTTGAACCGCCCCGACAGCTCCCTCGCAATGAAGAGCGCGCGAACGACCTTGATTGTATGTCCATCGTCCATAATCTTGTGGAACCGCGGAAGCAAGTCCTCCGGCTTCGTCACGGAGGATTGAGATGCAGCGTCCTTTGGGGTAAACGACTTGACGGAGTCGAGGCGCAGGGGCGGACAGCCGCGGGCCACGTACTGGACAATGTCGAGGCGGATTTTCCATTCGAGCGCGCGCGCTTTCTGGGAGGGCGTGAGCCAGGGGAGGGAGAGCAGTGTGACGAAGAAGGGAACCGAGTTGAGATGGTGGCTGTATATATATATATATATATATATATATATATATATATATATATAACATGTTAGATTATCTCTTCTGTAAGTGCACCAACCAACAGCTCTCACATGTGCATTGTGGGCACAGGTAAAGGAGAATGAGAACAAAGGGGGGGGGAGGTGGGAGATTTCTCTCACATCAGGAAAAAGTCAAACTTGGGCGCGTGCGGCGGATGAAAGGCCGCTGCCGCAGCAACATACGCACAGGTATGCGCCATCTCGGCCAGCTTCTCCTCCAGCTCGTCCTCCTTGACCGTCACCTGCCTCAGGAGCTCGAGGGCCTCGTCGGGGGCGCGCACGAAGACGCCGTCGTAGATTTTGTTGCTGTCGCCGAAGCGCGCGCTCGTGGCGAGCTTTTCGCCGTGCTGGCGGATGGTTTCGAATATCTCGGGAAGAGGCGTCTTGTTGGGAGAGGATGACGGCTGCTGAGAGGAGGAGGAGGAGGAGGAGGCGGCGGCTTGTTCGACTTTGGTGAGGAAACCGCCGACGCGGTTCTCGTGGACGGCGGCTTGGGCGAGGCCCTCGGCGATGATGGCTGGTTGCTGCCATTCGAGGCCGTACATGAGCTGGATCAGGGGGTGCAAGAAGCCTAGATGGAAACAAGCATTAGCATCAGGACGGAACATGATGGCAGCGACGATGCCTCGCAACAGTTCTTTTGTGTGGGGAGAAGCATACCGGCAAAAAGCCGTCCGTAGATGGCCTCGCTCCTCTCATCCCCCTTGAAGACATACTCCTGAATCACCGCCTCCCACCCTTTCTCTTCGATTTCGTCCTGGAAGAACTTGAGAAAGTCGGGATAGTGTTCCCCCTTGCCGAGATACGGACTGCCCTCTGACCACCCGCTCTTGAGCTCCTTGACGACGTCGGGGTCGAACTGCTTGGCGGAGATTTGGTACGAGTTGTTTTCGGCGTAGGCCTTTTCGAGGATGCTGGGGGAGGCGCCGGTTGCGTAGAGGGAGAGGAGGTGGTGGACGATCTGTTTGTTGTTGTTGTTGTCTCCTTTAGCACTATGCTCTGAGCTTCAAGACTTTGTGATAATGACATCTTGATATCCAATAAAATAAAGGATATATATATTATGAATGCAGTGGCTTGACATACATGGTTGTGAAATCCATCTTTGTTGAAAAACACATGGTGACGCTGTGATATAGGTTAGACATGTCTGAACCAAAAAACAAGTCGATGCAAGAAGACTTGCCTCGAGATCCTTTTGCAGCAGCTCCGAGACTTTGGCAGCAGCCTCGTCCGTCTGCTTCCACTTCAGGATGCCCGTATCAGCTGGCGGTACACGAATTTGCCAGGGCGTCGCCATGGTTGAAGCAGCACGGATTCGAAGTGTATTGGATGGAATTGAATTCAATATAGTGCTTTGTCTGATCAGTTGCAGACGTGAAATAATTGGCCGTGTTTTCGAAAGCAGCGTTGATGAGACAAGTGCCATGATATGCCACTTCAGGATAGAGGCAAGCTGGGACACCTCGAGGGAGCTATATAGGTATCTACCTACCTACGTTACCTACTAGGTAAGTAGGTAGCAATCATGTGAAACCAATTGCATCAGAAACCCCACGTGCCTCGAGGACAAAAACCATCCAATGACACGACATGCAATAGCCAGAGACAACACGTCAAATACAATTGGGTTGTCCGAGATGGCATTTCCAAGGCTGACAAATTTGTATCGTCAGCCCACAGGCAGACGCAGGCGGACTTCCAAGGACAACCGATGACGATCCTTGGGGTCTCGGTCAAGATGCGCATTGGCTCGGCTTCGGCTTCTCGATATGTAATGAGGGGGAGGGTTTGTTCCACAGCTCGGCAGTCGCTCCAAGTGGTGATTGAAGCTGTTTCTAGTAGAAGCGAGCGAGGTGGGAAATTTGATGCCGGTCTTTTACAAGTCCGAGGCCGAGAAAGAAATTGGAGAAGAGGGGAGACACAAATGGGAAAAGAGGGGAGAAACCAGTGTTTTGCTGTCACATTTACATCATGCACTTCAGTCTTAAGAAGCCAACGTTGGTCCGATGCCAAACGGGACTAGCCGTCATGGTTGTGCTCGTTCTCAACAGGCAAACCAAGGAGTCTCTCTAGATGAATCGATGAACAAGAATATGCAATGAGTTGAGTGACCAGAGATCCTCTTGACAAGGGCGCCAAGGAGCAAACATGTTCATACGATACAAGCATATAGTCCAGAAATGCTAGGAGAGTTCAAGTGTCCAAGATGAAAATGGGGGTATGAATTTTGCCAGTGTCGTTCTATATAATCATAAATCACCAAGCTCAACAGAGCACTTCCTTTTGCAACAGCCCTTTTGTGTTTTCCGTCATCATCATCATAGTCATCAGCTCCAAATCCTTCTTTTTGAATTCGAGCCCCATGTCCAGTTGGCCAGTGAGGGCAATGTAGAAGATCCAACAAGAAAAGGTTATCCAAAAAAAAAAGAAAATCGTGAGAATCCGCAACAAAGGCTTAAGCCTTGCGCTTCTTGGAGGGCTGAGGAGCCTCGGCCTCGTCCATCTCCTCGTCAGACTCAAAGCTAATGTCGCTCTGGCCATCCATCTCCTGAGCCGTCACTGTGAGAGATAGTTGTCTTAGCGTTGCTGCTCTCCTTAGTTGCCCTCATCCCCCGACTCCTCCGACGAGTTCTCAGAGGCGTGAATGTACTCACAGAAGTACTTGATGGCGCCGGGCCAGAGGTCCTCGGCGATGCAGACGGCCAGGTCGTCGGCGGTGGGGAAGATCTCCATCTCGTACTCGTCCTCGTCGTCATCCTCATCGTCCTCGTCCTCGTCCTCATCGACGGGCTTGCCCTCCTTGCGGGCCTGGCGCTTGGCCTGCTCCTCCTTGAGGGCGGCCTGGTTCTCCTCCTCGGAGATGCTGAGGCCGCGGAAGCCGAACCAGGCGAAGAAGCTGACGCCGTCGAGGCCGGTGCTCTCCATCTGCTCCCTGAGCTTCTTCTTGGCCTCGGTGTCGTCGCCCTTGCCGGCCTTGTCGTCCTCCCAGACCTGGTAGACGAGGTCCAGCAGGCCGCTGGTCAGGTCCTTGCCGGGCTTCCAGTTGATCTTGACGGGCTCGCTGACGAGGCCCGCCCAGCCGTCCTTGTTGCGGCGCCACCAGAACTTCTTCTCGAGCACCTTGTTCTCAAAGTACTCGTTCTCGCTGAACTCGAACTTGATGGCGATGCTGCGGGGGTCGCCGTCAGGCAGCTCGAAGCGCTCGACGGATAGGTCGACCAGCGAGCTCAGGAGCACGGCAGAGTCGGTCGGCTGGACGTACTCGTCGATATCCGGAGGAGCCTGCTCAAAGACGAGGGGCCAGAAGCTGGGGATCTGAGCAATGACCTTGGCGCGCTTGGCGTACAGGTCCTTGGTGAGCTTGTCCTGTTGGCGGACTGTACAGATGGATCATTGTCAGCTGTCTGCTTGCTTGCTTTCTTCTTTTTTACCTCGTGTGCGGCAAAAGGTGAAGGGGAGGAAAAAACTTACGGAGCTCGAGCTCAACCTCCTCGAACTCATCCTCGAGATTCTCGAGCTGCTCGTAGAAGACGGCGCCGTCAGCGTTTTCGGCAGACATTGTGGCTGTAGTGTGTGTGTGTGAGAAGTGGGAGAGGTAGAAAAAGAGACGTTTGATTATTAGCAAATGTGGCTTGTCTATGTTCCTGTAAGAGGAGGAGGGGAGCTCGACGCTGCTTTATAGGTATGCAGTGGAACCCAGGCAGGCAAATGACGTCTGATGGGGTTAGGCCAGAAAATTTCTCGCAGCCTCTGGCGGTAGAGGAGCAGCAGAAGCAAATCAAACAGGTCAATGCAAGGCGGAGAGACCCTGATTTGCTAATAGTACTATGGGGGAGTGAAGCAATCAAGAGAGAGGAAAAAAAAAAAAAATCTACGTTCAAAAAGAGCTTGCAGATTTGGTGAGGTGTGAGTGGAGGGGGCCGTGGCTTTTGCTGGAGAGCGGTACCTTGCCTAGCAGGGCATGGGCGCCCAAGGCAATTGGCCGCTAGATCGCTGGATCCCTGGACATCAGCGCCTGAAACGGCAAAAGCAGGGGCCGCTAAGCTCGCTGCAGTTTGGCGGAGGGTCCGCTGGAGTCGAAGCTCTTGCAGCGGGGGATCCACTGAAGGTCGCCTGGGCTAGAACTGAAAATTCGGATCCACGGGGGCGTGAAGGTGACAGGAAAAGATCCAAGAGAGGCGCAACAGTAGGTACCTGCAGACCATAGGCAATTTGTATGGAAAGGCCAGGTCACCGACAGAAATTTTGTTTCTTTATCGCATCAGACATTGACTGGAACTGTTCTCGCTGCTTCCCCACCGAGTTGAACCAAGACGCATAAAGTGGGGAGAGGAGAGGCAAAGAGCCTAGAATCTTGGACTTGCCCCAGAGACGGCCGAGGGACGAGACGGGAGGACGCCATCCCGAAGCCTCTTTTTGCTATTCATACCTAGGTTAGCTATGGGGGCTCATGCTTTGATGATTGAAGCTTTGAAGAAATGAGTCGAGATGAGGAGGAGCCAGGTTTTCATATATCAGATGGGCGTACTGGATGCTTTACATGAGAACTGCACTTTAAGTAGGTATGAGCTTGATCAAGACTGCCTACTGGTACGGAGTATCTGCATGTACAATACTGCTACGGCTTTTTGCATAGGTAGATTTTGGCTTCCACACAATACTCTCTAATACAATAAGGTATACATCATCAAAAACACACACTTCCTCGTTTCAACGTCCTCATCAGACACCTGCTCGTCCATTCCATCGGCAACTTCTTCCACAATCTGCATCTCCCATCGTCAGTCACAAAGAATTTCTTATCAGATAAGCCGTGCGTGCCCCTCCCCCGCCTCGACCCAAAAACCCCCCCACCAGAATTTCTACCTGTCATTCAAGCTGCCCTCGTCAACAATCGCAAAGCAGCTCACTTCAACTTCCCTTCAAGTGATTCTCCTTCCAATCTCACCTTTCCCAACTCACATTCAACTCACTTTTCGCTCAGAACAGCTTCAAGATGAAGTGATATGATAATGACCCTCTAGTCACCCTTCCTTTTCTGCACCTACATAAGGCAAGGGTCTCTCCCCATCTTCGCAAACTTGTTCCGTCTCTTTTCTCTCCTTCTTTCTCAACCCTTCCGACCTCGGCACGTCTGCACCAAAAGCTTCAGTGCTGAGCCTCAACACAGTCCAGCAGATCTTCCATTCCTTTTCCAAACTATACCCATCTACCAAAAGTCACACAAATTCCTCCTTTGTCACTCTCCCCCCCTCATCATCCATCAACATGCCGACCCCCCGCGATCTCGGCCAGTCCACCAGGCTCAACTGCGAGGTCGCAGTCTTCAGCGGCGCCGCCGGCCTCGAAGCCCAGGCTCTGGGCGCCAAACGCATCGAACTCAATGCCCCAGGCTCGTACGAAGAAGGTGGCCTCACGCCCCCGGTCAAGGAGCTGACCTCGATTGTCTCGCAGCTTGAAATCGCCGTCCGCATCATGATCCGCCCCCGCGGAGCCCCTCGCCCTACTGCTACTGCTGCCTACGCTGCGCAGCTCAAGCTAGACCAAGAGGAACAGGCCAAGAGCCCAGAGGAGCAGGCACAGGCTCAGGCTTCGGCTCAGGCTCAGGCTCAGGATCAGGAAAAGCTGCTGACTGAGGAAGAAAAGCAGAAGCAGAAAGAAGCTGAAGAGGACGCCCTCCAAGACTTCATCTACACCGACGACGAGATCCAGCTCATGCTCCAGGCCATTGCCGACTTCAAGGCCCTCCGCGTCCTCAACCCCATCCGCGGCGACGGCTTCGTCTTTGGCATCCTCCGCCGCCAGACAAAGGCCTCGACCCTCGAAAAGTACCCGGACTTCAAGTACACCATTGACGAGGAGCGCTGCCGCCTCCTCATCGACGCCGCCAAGCCCTTCCCCTGCGTCTTCCACCGCGCCTTCGACCCCATCGCCGCCTCGGAGCGCTGGCCCAAGGGCATCGACATCCTCGTCCGCTGCGGCTTCGACGGCGTCCTCACCTCCGGCGGCCACGGCGGCTGCCACCAGAACCGCGACAAGCTCGACGCCATCTGCCACCGCGCCCACCCGGGCAGCCTGCAGCTCATCGCCGGCGGCGGCGTCCGCAAGAGCAACACCGCCGCCCTCGTCGCGCAGCTCTCCGTCCACGGCACTAAGAACGTCTGGATCCACACCGCTGCCATTAGCAGGGCCGCGGACCGGGACAGGGACGGTCTCCTCCCGGAGCAGCTCAACGCCCGCGAGCTCAAGGGCATCATCAACATCATGAACAACACCCGGCCCGCCTAGAAGTCACCGGCTGATCATTGGCTCGAGCACTACGCCCACCTCTACAAGCAGTGAGCGGCTCTTCTTCCCCCTCAAAGAGGAAGATCTCAGGGTTTGAGGCACCACCTCCAACAAGGTATCTATCTGCGTTCTCGGTTTTGCCAAATTTATTTTCAGCCAGCCGTTTTCAATCATGTTCATCAATTCCCCTGCCCCCATCATGCCGGCGTTGGCCGGACGCAACAATAACTTTGCTATTTTCACTTTTATTTGATTCGATCGGTAACACAGGGATGCAATTTGGTTTCACAAACAAGTTTCAGAAGAACTATGTACGGCAAACACTTGCCAAAGGAGGGAGATGCTCTAACAAAGGGCCGTATATGGCACACACAAAGAGGTACTACCGGTTCAGACGGACAGGGATCCAAGTCAGATAGGTGCTTCACTGACGCAGTTTAAGCAATGACATTTACGAGATTACGGCTGAACCTGCTCCCTAAACCTACCATCAAAGCTAACAGTTATACAGCGTGAGAACGAGCTTTCATGCAGTCCATGTATACATGACCCATGGATGTAACTCTCCACACCAAGCATCCCTTCAGTGGCTCTCCTTGCCGTGTGCCAGACCCAGGCAGTTGGCAATTTTGTAGAAGATGTCAACATTGCTGTAGGTGCCGCCAAAGGTCTCCTGGCAGGGGCCCAACGCAAAGACGGGCACGTCGGTCAGGGAGTGGACGCCCTGGGCCTCGGTGGTAGGTATGGTTCCGTTGATGACGATGCCGTCGACGCCGTCCTCGGGGTTGACAAAGTACTCGCTGCCCATGGATACGGCGGGCAGCCGAGGAGCGTCCTTGTGCACCTTGTAGTTCTCGCGGTGGTCGGGCGCGGCACCAACTCCGCCGGCGATGGCGTAACGAGGCTCCCAGTTGGTGGGGAAGTTGACGCCGGTGCCGTAGCTGACCTTGCCCTTCTTCGTGTACTGTGAGAGGCCGGACTTTTCGTAGACGCCAATGGCGTTGCGCTTGGCACGCTCATCCTTCTGGGCGGCAAGGTACTCGGTATCGGCAGAGCCAAAGACGCTGTGAGTGGTAAATGTTAAGTCACCATGCCTCGAAAGACGCGCCTAGGGAAAGGGGAGGCGGGGGGGAGAGCGTACTCGAAGCCGTGGCCGTGATCAGCAGAGACAATAACCAGGGTTTCGTGTAGGATACCCATCTTCTCCAATTTGGCAACGGTGGCGCGGACAGTGTCGTCGAGCTCCAAAAGATCGCCCAGAGCACGGTCGTAGTCGAGGACGTGCATGGCCTTGTCAATGGAAGCAGCCTCGGACATGAGGAAGAATCCGTCATTACTACCACGCTTGTGTAGGACATCAACGGCCTTGAGTGTCATGTCCTTGAGGCCGGGCAGGTCGAGGGCCGGGGCGGTCGTCCCCTTGGGATCGTTCTTGAACTTCTTGAGGACGTCCTTGTAGATGTTGCGGTCCAGCCAGACGGGCATGACACCCTGGCAGAAGACTCCAAGGGCCTTTTTGTTGTTGTCGGCCTTAAGGAGGGACTGCTTGTCCAGGCTGATAGAGTAACCCTTCTTGGCGAACTCAGCATAGTAATCCTTACCCTGGTAGGAGCCGGCACCGGGGAGGAACTGCTCTGCGCCACCGCCAAAGAAGACATCGGGGCCGCCGTGGTTGGTCCAGGAGAAGTTGGTGACGCCGTGCAGGGCCTGGTCGATCAGGGGGCCGTACTCGCTCCGGCGACGAGTGTGCCCGGTCAAAGCGATGGGCGTCGCATCGGCCAGGAAGGCGGTGGAAACGGCGCCCCAAGCGCCTTTCTATCGACGGGGTATCAGCATCCTCGATTTCTCACGAGGGAAGAGCCAAAAGACTTACACGAACACGCTTGAAGATCTCGACAATGGTCTCAACCTTGGGGTCATCAAAAGCATCGGGAGAGGAATCGGCATGAACACTGAAGTCAAAAGTTAGCTTTCACTACTACATCAAAAGCCGAGTATCTGCCTCCCGCAGGAGCACGGCACCCACCCCATGGCGTTGACGGTGCTCTTGTGGCCAGAATACAGAGCAGAGGCCGAGTTGGCAGAGTCGGTAATGTAGCTGTCAATGGAGTGCGTCATCTGGTGGCCTAGAACGGGGAAGTCGTCGAGCTGCAGACGAGTCTGGTATTTTCCGTTGATGCTCTGGTGCCCAAGGAGCCGAGCAGCGGTGATCTGGAGTCATGCGAAGTCAGCCTTGGAAACAAGACAGCGCTCACGTCCAGGCTCGATTCTGACATACCATGTTGGTGGTCATGCCATCGCCAATGAAGAAGATGACGTTCTTGGCCCTCTTCTTAGTATGTAGGTCACGAACAACCCACGTAGCAGTGGTCTTCTCGCCATTGTAGTAGCTCAGGGTGACGGTGTACGTGCCCGGCTCGTACAGCGCAATCTTGCGGTAGGCCTTGGAGGCGACATTGACAACCGAAGGCCTGTGGGCATCCTGGGCGAAGAGATCCTCGTACCAGCTGAAGGTCCACCTCTCAACGGCAGGTTCCTTGACACCAAAGGCCTGGGCAAAGTCCTTGGCCTTCCCGCCGTCTTTGGCAATGGTGACCTTGAACTTGTCGTCGGGCTTGCCGTTGTGAGCAGCCTCGGAGCCATTGACGGGAGCGTGAACTTCAACACGTAGATCAAACAGCTGGCCGGGCAGGAAGTCGCTCTGATCGGGAGGCAGCAGACATCCCAGCGTTGGGCATGTTCCCAGTCGTTGAAAGGTCTGGGCCGAGACGACGGCAGACAGCGAGGTTGCCAGGAGGCTGACGACTCCGAACTTGACAATCATTGTGGCTGACGATGGCAACAGACACTGGAGGCAGCTGAAGAAGGGGAAGTGAAGGCAAGACGAGGCACATGAGGCCGACGGTCCTTATATAAGTACCTAAGTGTAAGTGCGTGGGTTCCGGGTTGCGGCGGACGATCCGGGCCTTTGTCTCCTCGTGCTAGAGCCCAGGCCGATACCACGCAAGATGTTGCAGCAGATGGCCGATTCCGCTAGCCTCCCTGGCTCTACAGCTGTGCTATCCACGTTGAACGCATGTGGAGAGAAGATGGAGATGAAGATGGAGATGGAGGGCGGATGCAAGGCACCTCATCGAGCTCGTTGGGGAGCATCGACATCTCTGCTACGCCTAGGGAGTCCAAGACGGCTAGGCGTTGATAGGTACTGAGGGACAACGAGGCGAGGTCGCAGCTGCACTGCGGCAGAATAGGCACTCGATTGATCACCCTGGTTTTGCTGTTCCTTTTGTTCGTTTTCGTATGGGAGGATGCAGGGTTGCAGGTTATAGGTACCTAGATTGCCAACCAAGATGGCATGCATGATACTTGAATCTCGATGAACATGAAGACTCATTGGATCAGTTCATAGCGATGCCAAGCACCGGGGTGACACAGAAGGCAGCCTCCTTCTTGTCCAGCAGCGCAGGCACGTGTCGGAGTATCGCCAACAATCGAGAGCCGCACGGCTTGTTGCGCCTTGGCAGCTCACCTTGAAGAAGAAACAAGATTCCAGACGCCATCCACAGAGAAGTCTGTAGTAGGTATCTTGCACTAAATACTAACTACCTACCTAGTAGGTAGAGGCGGTAGGGCGTCATTGTAGCAAGGCTGCAAGTACTACCAGGTAGGAGAGAAAGGCATGAGCTCAGAATAACCTCATCCATCAAAGTTGTTAGTCGTCACTCGCTATGTCAAACCCAGTCTAGCGCCTTTACGGGGGACGTGGACTTTCGTCTGCTCCGACCCTCGCTCGCACTTGCTCTGACATCTGCATCTTGGCACTCGTCCCCGTGGCGCGGTGCCCTCGTTTCATTGGCCGTCGAGAGCCTGCAACTGGCCTGGGTCGTGGCTGCCGTTGAGCTTGACCATCCATGATGATCAAAAGTTCTCAACAGCCAACTTCGCAGATTGGCAGGCACCACCTGAGGTCACCGCACTACCTATCAGCAATGAAGCTGGTACATGCCTCCTAGGTACCTTGTGTTTGTGGTCCAGGCTCCAAGACGAGGATTTCTGTTATTCTTATTCGTATGCTTATTTCTGAGTGCTTACCTGCCTACCTTACCTACCTACCTACCCACCTACCCAGGTAGGCAGTATTCTAGCCCTTGGATTTATCATGTAACAACATCGCATTATGAACTTGATGGAGCTCCATGGCTGCTGGTCGCCAATGTACCTATTAAGTGACCGGTATTATATGACGGCAGCCACGGGCCAAGTCGATGAGATTCATGCTTGTCCCTTTTCCAGGCAGTTTTGCGTGCCTATATTTTACTCTGTCCTCCTCAATCAGAGCGCTGCACAGGAAACGATGGCTTGAATTGCGGCAGGGCCTTTGATACTCTTCCAGCAACAGCAACAACAACAACAATTCTTCAGCCTGCATCTTTCCATTCCAGGACTGTACTCTATCACCATTATCCCGTCCATGTACTCGACCTCTCGCCCAAGGCGATAACTCCATTAGGCGTCAACAAGCGGGCAGAAGTGACATATCAGTCCACACTCTCTGGCAGACCAGAGGCCAACCTCTTCTCGATTCGTTGACCGACGATGGACCCCACGCACACCTTGATCTTTAGCATGGGCCGTTAGTCGATTGTATTGACGTCGACGTGTAACCTTGAATCAAGCTTAGGTACCTAGTTATTATACCTTACATCCAGACTCTGTGTAGGTACCTATATGAAGGCAGCGGTACTCATAGCTGATCCAACCGAGGTACCTATGCCTACCAAATTGTCTGTCTAACTGATACCTATATGAGATGGAAACAGCAAAGACGAAAAGCAGATCAATGCACGTAAACCTAGTTAGTAGAAGCAAGCTCAATGTCCAGTTGAGTGAGGCTTTACAGCCTTGCTTGGCACACAGGTTGGACAAAGGCAACATTGCTATACTGGCCCTCACATGATGTGCCCATTGAGCAATACCCTTTGTGAAAACAGTCCGCAGCATGAAGGGGATCGGTGAACTCTCGGTAGGGGACATAGCCCTCTTTCATCATTCTCTTTCTTCATTATCATCTCTATGCAGTATATGTCCACAAGTCTAAGATATACTCAGCGCTGCTGCAGCCGCCTCCACATCAACCACCGCCACCACCTCATCCCGACTATCAGGCTCAGGCGCAAGACTTGCAATCTGCGCCGACGCCTCCTTGTCCAAATCCACCCAAGCCGGCTTGTTGATCCTGTCCGCGCTGGCCTCGCTCTTGAAGTGGTAGCCCCTCGCCCTGGGCCTGGCACCCGTACCCTCGGGCAGCACAGGCTCATACGCGGCAGTAAACCTGCGCGCCGCTTCTTCAAAGGCAGCCTGCCCGCCCTTGACGAGCGTCTCGCGGATGCCTGCGAAGAACTGGTCAATGACGTGGTGGTTGTGGATCTGCAGCAGGTTCCAGCCGAGCATCTCCTTTGCGTTGAGCAGGTGGTGGAGGTACGCCTGGTGGTGCTTCGTGCAGGTGTAGCACGGACAGCCTTCCACAAGCGGTACCATGGCGACGTTGTGCTCGGGGGACCACATGTTGATCCCGAGGGGCTGTACTCCGTCGACGCTTGGGGGTGGGAAGGAGAATGTCATGGCAACGCCGGCGTCAGAGGTGCTGTTTGCAAAGCCAACTGTGCAAATGTCGATGCCGAGGGAAATCTGTCGCAGGACATCGTGGGGGGTTTTGGGAGGGTCCATGGATAGTTTGGGGAGAGGTGCCAGGGGAGGGTAGTTGACGAGCTCGGGAAGCAGATTCGTGCCGTAGACTGCCAGCCCCTCAATTTTATCGAGTACGTCTTCGGACAGGTGTCTGAGATAGTCCCACTGAATGGGATACTCGACTGGGAGCACGGGGGCAAAGACAGAGCTCTCCAGGGCTTCAGGGGCTTTGGAGGAACTCAATCTGTCCAAGAATTCATCCAGCCACACTTCGGTCCGCTCCGCCATTCGAATCAGCTTTTTCGACGAAGGCGTTGTGCTGGTGTGCGGCAGCTCGGCCATTGGGAGCACAATGTCGGGTTGCAACAACTGGACGGCGGATGCATATTCGGGTACCGTTACACTGCGGAATCCGGTGCAAGTGAATACGGTCATTGCCTTGGGGGTGTTTCCATAAGGGGTTGTCACGGCCGGAGATCGCCGCGGACCAAGTATGGAAATGTTCTCTGAGGGCAGGGCTGTGAATTTGTGTAGCCGGCGTGAAGTCTCACTACCAGGAGTTTGGTATACGGGAGGCTCCTTCTTCTCAATGACTATCACGCAGTGTCAGTTCTAAGTAGCACCAGAATGGCAAGATATTCCGCAGTGACCTACAATCTTCAAGGGCCATGTACAATCCGTTTACAGACGTGTGTCTGGTGAGATTATCAGGAGTGAGATGAGGCACCGCCCCGCGGGATGTGACTGCGAAGAAGTTTGGTGTGTCGATGACCTTTTTGCCTGGGAGAGAGAGTTTGCCCAGTCGGGCTGCAGAGCCGTCGACGGCTGCAGAGCTAATGAGCTCGAATATCTTGCGGTTAGACATTTCGGGAGTGTTGTCGAGATTTGAATCGCTCATTTTGAGGTGTCTGCTTTGTTCTAGGGTGAGGAGGTTGCCGAAAAATGAGATGAACGAACAAGAAACACAAGTGAGTCTATAGTGGGAAGAGAAGTGTGCGGGAAAACAAAGTACACCTTTTGTGGACAAATTAACCAGTCTTCAACTCCAGAGTCCCGTATGTCAACTGGCTGAATGAGAGCTGCTGGCCATTACCTATTGAGCCACAACATGGAATCTTTCACGATGGCCCTCATCCTCGTACTTTGTACATGTGATTCACACAATTCGACGCTTCGCTTCTTGCGATGCCTGGCCGATAAGAGCCCACGCGCCTTATCGCTTACCGATGTTGACCCGACAATTACTGTGTACTACCTTAGTACGTAGCAACTTTGCGCTTGACCTCTTGCAGCCGTTAGTACGTCTAAATGCCGGACTTTTGATGATGATGACACCCCTTTGCTGGATTGGCCAAGAGACGTGAGGAAACACTCGTCCAAGTGCCGGCTGGACTTGATTTGGTAGCGAAATGAAGAATGAAGGTCTATGAGCGAAAGAGGCTTCGTATACTCGTAGCGATGGAGATGCAATTGTCCGACAGTATTTGCTCCTTTTTTTTTCTCTCTTTTCTTTTTCCCTTGGCGCCTTAGCTGAGCTGAACGGGAGGTCGTGCCATCAGCTTCCTCCCTACCTACTACTACCTAGTTAGTCCGACCGCATCCGTCCTACAATCTTGGTAGGACGAGTATTCAAGAGGCTGAAAAATAGGCGCCGTTCCTCGTCGAATCTAGAGCCTCAACCTCGCCACGGTGCCTTGTGCCTGACTCTCCCCTCCCACCGCTCAATGGCATTCTCCAACCACACAATCCACGATCCTGCCGTCGGAGCACAATTCGTGAATCCCCTCTCAGAGCCTCGGGCAGCGGTTGATCGAGCCCAAAGCAAGCATCAAGCGACAAAGACACCCAATCACACCCCATAAGCCCGGCCGCGTGCCGCTTACTCCGTCAATCCCCCCCCTCCTTGGAGATCTTTCCATTGAATCGCTTCCCGAGCTTCCGGAGCTTTGGCCTGTCCCCGACCCACCAGATGCCCAGATACCCTCGTCCCCCAGTCCCGTATTTAAGAGGCTGAGGCGGCCGCGCTTCCAACTTTGGGGTCCGTTTTCAGTGGCTGGCGGTTAGATACAATACGAGTAAGAAGAAGGGATTGGGTTTGACAAAAGAAACCTAAGCCATTGAGTTGCAGCCGCCTGCAGAGCTTACATACATACATACATACAGCGCAGACATATTACTACCTGTTACAGCTAGCCCCGGCTCTGTTGCGTTTTGCGTTGGATGATTGACGTTGATTCCAAGAGGACAAAAAGATCGACCCTTTCCTCATCTCTCTTTCTTTCTTTCTCTCTTCTTCCTTTTTTTTCTTTCTTTCTTTCTTTCCCTTCCTCCTCCTCACCCAGCCATGGTGAGACCCTTCGAGCCATACCACGATGAAAGCGAGCCACTCATGAAGGACGACGCCGAGCGAAACGACCCGGCCGGCGCCGCTGCAGCCGGCAATGGCATCGTCGACACCACGACTAACACCGTCACCGAGATTGACCACCCCGATGCGCCGCTCGAGACGCCGGCCGCAGTGACGACGCCGGCCGCCGCACCCGCGCCGCTCGAGGTCGTCGACGACAACAGCAGCGGCGACGGCAACGCGCCCACGCCGCGCTTCATCCAGGACGAGCGCTCGTCCAAGCGCTGGCGCAGGATCCCGTATCCCGTCCGCCGCGTGCTGCTGGCCGTTGCCAAATGGTCTCACGGACCGCCCAACCCGCAGCCGTACCGCATCAGGCCGCTGTTCCCGGCCGTCCAGGAGTATCCGCTGCGGCTCGTCGACCGCTTCCTGCCCAAGGCCTACCGCACCTGGGCGCTGTTCCTCTACTTCTCGCTGTGGCTCGTCACCTTTGTGCTGGTCAAGCGGCAGGAGACGATCGAGTCGACCGTCGAGGGCTGGGGCCAGTCGCAGCCCATCAGCTGCGGCGACACCTACTGGAGCGCCGGCAACGGCTGCGGGCTCGACGGCAACGACTGCAGGCCCTTCAACGGCAGCGGCTTCGCCTTCCAGTGCCCGGCCTCGTGCGAGAGCTACCACGTGCTGAACCCGCGCGCCGTGGGCGACCAGGAGGTCATCTACCGGCCGCTCGTCGTCGGCGGCCCCTCGAGCGACGTCGACCCCGAGCTGGCCACGTACCGCGGCGACTCGTACATCTGCGCCTCGGCCATCCACGCGGGCCTCTTCCCCAACGAAAAGGGCGGCTGCGGCGTCGTCGAGCTCGTCGGGCAGCAGCAGGAGTTTGTCGCCTCCCAGCGGCACGGCATCACCAGCGTCGGCTTCGACTCGTACTTCCCGCTGTCGTTCCGCTTCGTGCCCGACATCAAGTGCCGGGCCAAGGACGAGCGGTGGTCCATCCTGGCCCTGTCCACCGTCTTCACCGGCGTGCTGTCGCTCTGCACCGCCTCGCCCGCCCTCTTCTTCTTCCCGACCTTTGTCGGCATGTTCTGGGCCGTCGGCATGTCGCTCGACCAGCCGGGCCACTCGACCGTCACGGACCTCTTCTCCAACATCCTGGGCAAGTTCGTGCCGGCCATGTTCTGCGCCTGGGTCATGTATGACAAGATGGGCGTCCGCCGCACGCTCAACCACCTGACGGCCCAGATCGAGAAGACGGTGCTCTGGCTGGGCGCCTGCTGGGTCGGCGCCCTCACCAACTACACGCTGGACTTTATCCCCATCCAGCGCCTCAACAAGCACGATCTCGATCAGCAGCCCGGCGCCAGGGCCGCCCTGGCCACCATTGTCATCATCTTGTTCTTCATCTGCCTGTCGCAGGTCTTCTTCTTCAGGCAGGAGGGGCGCTTCATCAAGTACATCAAGCTGTACGCGCTCTTCATCTTCTGCATCGTCATCTCCCTGACGCTGCCGGGGCTCCAGCTGCGCATCCACCACTACGTCCTGGCGCTCCTGCTGCTGCCGGGCACGAGCCTGCAGACCCGACCGTCGCTGCTCTACCAGGGCCTCCTGGTCGGCCTGTTCATCAACGGCATCGCCCGCTGGGGCTTCGACCCCGTGCTGGAGACGCCCGCCGCGCTCCAGGGCGACGCGCAAAAGGGCACGCTCCTCCCGACCATCCCGCCGCCCGTCATCCACCTCGGGGAGGGCCCGCACAGCTCCTCCAACATTACCTTTACGTGGAACCAGCCGTCGAGCAACGTCTACGACGGCATCAGCATCCTCGTCAACGACGTGGAGCGCTTCCGGGGGTACTTTGACGACATCATCGACCGGCAGGACAGCTTCGTCTGGTCCAGGAACGCCACCCTGGGGCTGCCCGAGTACTTTCGATTTGCCTACATGCTGGGAAGCTCGAGCGGGGACTACACCAAGGCGGGCATCTGGTCGGCGGACGGCGAGTGGACCAAGATGAAGCCCGGGCCGTCGAGAGTCAAGGGGAGGAGGGATGTGGAAGATTATGTAGTGGTTCGGCGATGATGTTTCTGATTATTTTTGGTCGTTTTGATGCGTCTCTTGAAACTTGTCTGCAATTATATAAATACATACGTAGCTACGTGCACTGGATGTTGTACATGTAGAATCAATCTGGATAAATGGTCTCAATAGAAACTCCTCGTTCTTTTCAGGACTCATGCATCAATTTGCTTGCTCAACTCCTGTCGCTTGACATGTGAAATGGTCGGCGCTTGAAGCCTCGTTTCTCATATAGTGGATCCCTCCGGCGCCGGGACTATTGCTCCGTTCCGAGCTATCCAGGTCCTCTCCGCTCCGGAATTGCATCAACAAGTCGACCATCTTCACTTGACATCAATCGAAGACAACCACTTCTCACAAAAAAAAAATAATTTACCGATATTGACAACTCGCATAAGCCACAGTATCTCACCGTCCACGATACCTCGACGCCAAAACGATCCCAGCCACACCCTTCCCGCTCCTCATCCCACCTCAACCATCCTCATCTCAACCATCATCAACACCACGAAACCCCCAATCAAACATTCCCCCATCTCTCCAAAGAGGAAATATAAGAAAGAGAGAAAAGAAAAGCCTCATAATGCCTCCCCGCATCCCCTCCGAAGCAGACTTCCACCCCCTAACCACCCTCCTCCCCCACGCCCTGCACTTCCCCTCCCCCCGCGAGGCAACAACCTCCATCCTCATCCTCCTCCACGGCCTCGGCGACAACGAAGCCCCCTTTGCCGCCTTTGCGCGCAACATGTCCCTCCCGGGCGTCCTCGCCATCTCCGTCCGCGGCACCGCGCGCCTTCCCGCCGGCATCCTTGATTCCGGAGGACATTCTTCTTCTTCTTCTTCTTCTCCTTCTTCTTTTCACTGGGGGGATGACTTGAGCGTCGACTCAGACACGGGCGACTTGCATCCCGATCCGGGCTTTGACAAGGCAGCGGGCCTCATCATGAATAAGCTCGTCAAGGAGGTCCTGCTCGACAAGTGCGGTTGGGAGATGAATGACATTCTGCTGTTTGGATTCGGACAGGGAGGATCGCTTGCGCTGGGCCTTGCCTCTCGCCTCCGCACCATAGAGCGCATCATTGACATTTCATCCTCCTCCTCCTCCTCCTCCTCCGACGGGACTGATGGGCAAAAGAATAGGGAAAAGGAAAAGGAAAAGGAGCTCGGAAAGTCGTTCAAGGGCGTCGTCTCCATCGGCGGGCCCCTCCCGCAGTCCATGGTGCCCTCGCTGAGCAGCCGCGACAAGAGCAAGACGCCTGTGCTCGTGTGTCAGTTGGACGACGACGAGGCGGATGCCGTAAAGCGCGAGTTTGCAGATGTGAGGGTCGTCAGGTGGAGGAGGAGGGAGGTGGCTATGCCGAGGGACAGGGAGGAGATGTTCCCCATCATGAAGTTCATTGCGGACCAGCTGAATAAGGGCTTTACATAGAAGGTAAGTAGTATATGAAAGACCCTACGTGATCCAAGAAAAGCCCCTCTCTCTAATTGCGAGCCACTGAAAATAGTCTTGGAATAGGGTATCTCTGCTCAATTATCATCTTCTCCCGCGTCAATCAGACCTTGTCAGCCCCTATTTCTAACATCGCCCGCTTGCAACATGTCTGCCAGAATATCCCACTTGGCAGACTGCGCATCACTCGACGCCCTCGCGGCGCTCTTCAGCTCCAAACACACAAAGCCAAGATGCTCCTCGAAATCAGCGTTAATCTCCTCCAGCCACTCCATGTAATCCTCACTGGTCAGCCCCTCCTCCCTCCCCTCTCCCTCGTCGCTCTCATCCTCTTTCCTGAACATGTGAGAGGGCTCGGTCCCGTCCCACGCGGCTTTCCCCTCTCTTGCCAGCTCGAGGTGGATGGCCAGGTCCAACATGTCGAGCATGCGCTCGTGAATGGGCGCCATCTTGCTCCCCAGACAAGCCTGCTCAATCATCTGCTCCAGATAGGCGGCGTGCACCGATATCATGGAGTCGACATCTTCAGCCATCATCAGCTCGCGCCGCATTGCCCGTTCGTTGGGCTCCAGGACGAGCGTCGCCAGGTATGACTGGACCGTGGTGCAAAACCAGAGCAGCTTTCCGCGAGCGGTGTAGAACAGGGCCCGCTCGTCCCAAACTTCCGTATCAGTCATGTAGTTGTCGAGGATCTTGGGCTTGTGGAGGACGTGAATCGCTCGTCGGAGCTGCAGAAGCAGAGTGAATATGGCTCGATACTTTTCCATGCTCTCTTCCGAGACCACAATTTGAACCGGCCATGAAAGTCGATAGTCGACCCTTAGATGCGGCAGAGCAGCCCGTATCGACCCTCGGGCGTCCGTCACCGTCATGCGCGTGCCCTGGACGTGGACACTCACAGAGAGACGGCTCACGTCCACCAGCTGCATAAACGCATCCTGCGCAGTCCCGACAAGGGCAAAGCGATCATACCACACCGGATTCAGATTTTCCAGCTTATCGAACAGCTGATCCGTGAATGAGGCGGCGGCGTGTCCGTCCGACATGAGAAAGAGCGCCTGCAGCGCATCCAATGACGACGAGAGCTCGCACAATTCAAATAGAGCGTCCTTCAGCGTGGTGGATGTTTTGCGGTACTTGCTCTGGATCCACCGATTAAAGGCCGCACCGAAGAGGTCTGGAAACGTGGCGAGGCCGAGTCCTTGCGGGCAGACGTGCTCAAAAGCAAGGGATGGCTCCTCGACGAGAGACGAGCTGCCCAGCTCATACTTGCCCAGGAGTCGCAGCACAACAATGTTTTTGCCGGCATTGTATATCCTTTGCGCAGAGGGCTTGAGGAATTTGGGAGCATGCAGACTCCCCTCTGCGGTTTGGCGGAGCTTGAACCGATCTTGCCAGATATTGCTCATGGGCACTTTGTTGGGGCTCTCGAGGACGAAGAAGATTTCATTTTCCGACGAGATGCGCCCTTCGTCCATCCAGTGACGGATCGGCCGGATGTAGACCTGGAAGCAGTCGAGAAAAATGCGGGCGAGAAACTCATACGTGGACATTTCGCCTCTGAGCTGCGCCAGCGTCGTCTCGTCGTACAGGAGCTCAAGGTACCGGAACGTGTCCGAGCTCGACGTCTCCTGGATCTGCGCAATGATGTTGGAAAGCACAAGCAGGGGCTGCAGCCAGGGGGCAATCTCCCCCTGAACAGACAGCAACGTGAACATGACCTCGTCCGAAGGAGCAGCAAAGCGAGCTTCGATCTCCGACAGCTTGATGTCAAAGTCCCGAAGTCGTTTTGCGATGCAGTCTTGAAAGGCCTGGAGATGCGGAATGGCCTGCGGATGGCTCACAAATCTCCGAAGCAGCAGTATGCGCCAGCCAGACTCTGCAATGCCGTGTATCACAGCCTTGTACGTCTCCCAACTGACGTGTTGCATGTAGTAGTTTGGCTCCGGCAAGCCAGTGGTATCGTTGAAAAGAGACGTTTTGAGTCCCTGGAGCATGAAGAGGATTTCCCTGACAATGTGCGTCTCCGAAATGGCAATTTTCTGGACAGTCCCTATGTCATCCTTTTGGGGTACGTCGGTTCTCCATTGCTGCGTCGACTGAAGCTCCTTGAGCAGTTCCGTATCCTCGGGCTGGATGATGCAGTCAGTAGCAGTCCTGCCCTCTTTGTGCAGGCTATGATCAATGTCGTAAGCGTAAATGAGCGGCACGTCAAGGAGCGTTTCGTCGTCCAGCTCGTCTTGGGCAGCTTCGCCATCGTCGTCGTCGTCATCGTCGTCGTCGTCTGAATCGCGGCTGTAATCAATCGTCTGCCAGAGGAGCTCGTCCTCATCCCAACCATCTTCTCGTGCGACGTCATCCCAGTTGAAGGCCTGGGCCTGCCGCTCTTCGCGCTGTCGCACAGCATCCAGGTCGCTGAGCTTCGTCTTGAAAGTCGGTTGGTCGGACAGTCCCAGGAGCAGCGCCAGTATCTCTGGGTGCCACTTGGACTCGTGCTCTTCCAGCCGGTCTAGGCTGTCGCGGAAAGCGTCGGCGAGGTCATCGCGGTTGTTGACGCGGAACCGCTCCTCAAGCCCGTCGAGCGTGTGCTGGATCTCGAACTGGTTGACGCGGAGATAGGCCTGCGACTTGATCTTGTGCAGTGTGGCGTCGTAGATGGCTCTGTAACGCCTCGATTTTGTCTACGAGAATGCGGTTCAAGCGGTCAGCCCTGGAGATCATGCCATGGGTATCATCATCTTCTTCTTCTTCTTCTTCCTCTTCATTCTCCCCCACCTTGCGAGAAAGGCCCGTGACGGCTTCGATGAGCTCCTCAGTGAGGGCTCCAAGCTGTGCGGCGTAGGCCATGGCCAGCGGCTGGCATCTTTAGCGGCAATGGCAGCCAACAGGAGCTGAGTGAGGTGGTGCGCAGCCGTGAGCCATGAAGCAACAATTGACGAGGCGCGAGGTTTGATGTTGACTCGGTCGAAGCCTGCTGATGTCGGGCTGGTCTGGTGCTGTACTGACTGCTGCAGGTGCCGAAGCGAGACACTGACGGCACTTAAACCAGTCCCCCCTGTAGCGCGTCTGTAGCGCGTCTGTGGGGGAAGCCAGCGCCTGGACGGGAATTGGGTCGGGTCTCTTATCGGCAGCTGGAGGCCATTTTTCTCTCTAGTGCGTGATGTGGCGGCATAAATGGGAGCGACTCAACCTCCTACTAATAAGTACCTTAGCATCACTACCTAAGGCACTAAGGCTAAAGTGCCCCTTTCACAACTCTGCTCCAACCGCCAGAGATGCACGAATAGCGACATCCAGCACCGACGATTTGGATGCCTCGTCTGCTCATGGACAGTTGATCCCGCAGCCTCGTTATTGGGCTTCCGTCACTCCTTCATCCCCGCTCACGCCACTCGGCCCGGCATCATGGCCATTGCCCGGCCGGTTCGAGCCCTGGGAGGCCTGGCCGCCATCCTGTGGTGCTTCTTCCTCTACCAGCTGCTCAGGCCGTCGTCTTCGTACAACAGCCCGGGCGATCGCTACATTAACTTTGAGCGCGATCCCAACCTGGACCGTAAGTACCGGCTGCCTGATGCGATTGCCTCTACCTGCTCCCATGCTGACCCATCTTGTCTTCTTCTTGATAGCCACGGGCGAGCCCGAGGGAATCCTCGTACGAACCTCTGATCGATATGCGCCCGACGCCAAAGACACCGACCGAGCCAGCGCCACCCTGCTGGCCCTCGTCCGCAATGAAGAGGTGGACGACATGGTGGCGTCCATGGTAGATCTGGAGCGGACGTGGAACAGCAAGTTCAACTACCCGTGGACCTTTTTCAACGACAAGCCGTTCTCGGAGGAGTTCAAGAAGAAGACCAGCGCCGTGACCAATGCGACCTGCAACTACGGTATGTTGTCTGTTCCTCCACAGCACGAGGTGATTGCCAAAGACCGGAGGCTAACCAGCAGCAACCCGCAGAGCTCATCCCCAAGGAACACTGGGACGCGCCGTCATGGATCGACCCGGCCATCTTCGAAGAGTCGGCCGCCGTGCTGAAGAAGAACGGGGTCCAGTATGCCAACATGATGTCGTACCACCAAATGTGCCGCTGGAACAGCGGCATGTTCTACAAGCATCCCGCCCTCAAGGACGTCCGCTACTACTGGCGCGTCGAGCCCAAGGTCCATTTCTTCTGCGACGTCGACTACGACGTCTTCCGCTACATGCAGGACAACAACAAGACGTACGGCTTCACCATCAACCTCTACGACGACCCGCACACGCTGCCCACGCTGTGGCCCCAGACGGCCAAGTTTCTCGCCGACCACCCCAACTACCTGCACGAGCACAGCGCCATCAAGTGGGTTATCGACGACGCTCGGCGGCCGCAGCACAACAGGGAGGCCCAGGGCTTCTCCACGTGCCACTTCTGGAGCAACTTTGAGGTTGCCGACATGGAGTTTTGGAGGAGCAAGGTGTATGAGGACTATTTCGAGCATCTCGACCGTGCGGGAGGCTTCTTCTATGAGCGTTGGGGCGACGCGCCCGTCCACAGCATTGCCCTGGGTCTATTTGAGGACTCGAGCAAAATCCACTGGTCCGTTTGCCGCACACACACACACACTCTCTCTCTCTTTGGCCCGTCTTACTGACTTTAATAATAGGTTTCGTGATATTGGCTACCAGCACATTCCCTTCTTCAACTGCCCCAACTCGCCCAAGTGCAAGGGCTGCGTTACTGGCCGACTAACGGACGGCGAGCCGTTCCTCCACCGCGAAGACTGCAGGCCCAACTGGTTTAAATATGCCGGCATGGGCTGAGCAAATGTTTGGACTTGAGACAATGAAAAATCTGGCTTCAACACTTACCTTTTACGTACCGTCATCCATCTCCACACGCTCTCGGGAGACGCAGTCTACATCATGCTGTGTCAGGAATTACATCACAATGTAAGGTTTCTGAGACTGCTCGTCACCGCGAGAGCTGCTGTAGTGCGAGACTTGGACATTAACCATCCGCCCCGGTTGATAAGGGCTGAATGACTATTACATCACTATACCATATTGTACGATATAGATCCATCATGATACACAGAATAGCAGACCGGCTCAAGGCAAACAAAAGAAAACAAAAACCTCTGAAATGGACAGAAACCCAATAACCCCCCCGTAGTCATTCGTTCTAAACATCATGATCATAATGCCCCAAACACCGTAACCACGCCGGACGTCCCCCCAACGCAAAACTGGTCTCCCCAACCTCCCTCCCGCCACGCCATGCAGCTGATGACATTGTTCCGCACCTTGGGCTTCCCGTCCTTGCCCACCGTCTTCTTCCTCGCCTCGTAGCCCGGCGGCCCCCACGGCACCGTCACCTTGGCGACCACCTTGCCCGAGAGCAGATCCCACGCCCAGATCCTCCCCGAGCCGCTGCCGTCCGCCGCCATCGCCGCCGGATCGCCCGTCATCTCATCGCCCGCAACGACGTACTTTTCCCTGCCGCCCAGCAGCGACTGCACGCGCAGCTCCTCGCTCTTCCACAGCGGATCCGAGTACGCCCTCAGGCACGTGCCGTTGTCGCGGTCCATCAGCCGCAGCTTGCTATCGAGCGAGCCCACGAGCATGGCCTTGCCGTCCCTCGTCACGTCCAGGCTGACGACGCTCGCGCCCATGACGTCCGTCGTGCACCTGCCCATGCGGACGTCGTAGCTGCGCACCCGGCCGTCGACGCTCCCCGCGACGACCTCGGCGCCCCTGACCACGAGGCTCGTCACCGAGTCCCTGGCCTCGTCGAGCACCTGCACCGGCCGGAAGCCGCTCGCGTTGCGCACGTCCCACAGCCGCACCGTCGTGTCGAACCCGCCGCTCGCCACGAGCGAGTCCCCGTCGCCCGCGAAGCTCACGCAGTTGACGCGCGCCGAGTGGCCTCCCTGCGCCGCGCTGCCGCCGAACCGCCGCGTCGTCACCGCCCGGCTCACGTCCCACAGGAACACGGCCCTGTCGCCGCCGCCCGACACGAAGCTCTCGTTGTCCGACGCCACGGCCAGGCACGTCACCTCGTAGCCGTGCGCGGCGTACGTCTGGATCAGGCGGCCTTGGGGAATCGCCGGCTTCGCGCTGCTGCTGGGCCTGATCTCGGGCACGGACGTGCTGGGGAACGGGTTGTACAGGCGGATGGAGCGGTCTGCGGACCCGGTGAGGATGTAGTTTCCAGGGGAGGCTGAATAAGTCACAGCATGGACGGGGCCTGATGAGAGTTGTCTTCGTCAGCTTGAATGTTCACGGAAAGAGGGCGCGGCGCAAAAGGATGAGACTGAAATGTCAAGACAAACCATTTGAGCCGAGAAGATGCGCCACGGGCTTATCTGGGAAAACCATTGTTTCAGGCACCGCGGCTCATCGCATCATATTTTCCCCTTTGTCTTCTTCTTGAAATCTCCACAGTCTAATTGCTTGGAAAATTCAGAGCCGCAGAATGGACAGTGTGTTGATTGATAGTGAAATGTGTAAAGACGGCGCTGTCTTAGAACGACATTGTCATGGCTCCTTTTGAGGCTTCTCTTCACTGGTCCCTCCTCACAATTGTGATGTCTGATTTTGCCGCTGATGCTGTGGCTATAATTACGCCAAAAGAGACGTGTTCAACAGAGCAAAGACTCCTTGTAATCGTAATCTCGACGGAATTCTCCAGTCCGAGCCCTTAAACAACTGGTTTACAAGGACTTTCGTTGCGAGGATATGAGTATGTATCGCGATGATAGATATCACGTGATCGATCGCGCGATAAGCCTCGACTCCTTCGGTTAGGGGTCAAGACTCAAACAACAGTTGTACCTCGAATGCAACGGTACCTTTGGTGCAACCCATGATCTTCTTTGTGCAGGTCCATACCAGGTGTCGGCGCTCACGTAGAATTGATAAACAGCAAGAGGTAAAGGCGATATACAGATATGCGGCATCAAACGTAAAATGCCATTCAGAGTAAGTAGCCTCCCATTCAACATACAGATTCGCGACCAAGGCCTCCTTGTCACATCGAATGCCCAAACTCCTCATCCCATGTCATCCGATTCAAGTCGCCTTGATCTCGATGCCTCCAAGCAGGCCCAAGTGGGCAGCGATCTAAACGCTAAACCATGCATAACACGTTAAAGTCGTTTCCAAAAAAAAGCAAGCTCATTTTGGGTAAAAACAAACAGGCCAATAAAACATAGACAGTAAAGAGAAGAAATACAAGAGAAGAGGAATACAGAAAAAAGCGGATAGATATAGAAAGTAGACGTGCATGTATACACATGTATACACGACAATAGGAACAAGTCATCCAGTAGAGGCAGCACACAGACGCCGAAGCTCCAAGCGTCTAGTCGCATCCGACATAGACCACGTCCATGTCTCTGGGAAATGTTTGTTCAAGGGGATCAAAGATCTGCCAGTGGCTGAGCTCCTTGTCCTTTGTGTTGTCTGACAGGGGAAGCAAGCGATAGCCCTGAATAGGGCTGGGCGGCCGCGATCCTAGCTCACGAATGCGGTTCAACTTTTGTAAACGCCGGTGGATGGCAAGACCGTCCTTTGAGGATGCCTCCCAGACGTCCTTCATCTTGTCAATTGCCGACTGGGCGATTCGAACTCGGTCAATGATCTCGCCTAAAACGGCCATCGGACCACTGGCAGTCAGAACATCGACAGCTTCTGTGACGGCGACAGCCATGGCTGGAGGAGGGATGCTCAGCAATGCAGACCTGACCCTCAAGATACGCTCAAGACTGTTCAGCATCTCGAGAACCCGGCTTGCGTGCTCCCGGCACTCGGCCGAATGCCCCAACTGGACATCCCGGGGTAGCTGGCCGGCTCCGTAGCGGTGTCGGTTCAACTCGATCATGGTATGATGGTAAAGAAAATGCATGCTGAGGAAAGACCCCGTGCTTCTCGAGAAAGCAGCCGTTTCGATGTTTGTGCCACTAAACGTCATGCGAGGGGGTAGAGAAGCAGCCCAGTTCTTGGCTCTCTTGATGAGATCCTGCAGCTTCGTGGTCTCGGCTTCGGTGGGCGTCCGTCTGAGGGCCATTCTATAGATGGAGGCCTGGCAGTCCGACCAGATGTGCACCATTTCAAGATAGTAGCCCGTGACAGTGGCGTCCGACGATGGCTCATCCGACACGACGCGGCCACAATATGGGTCAAAGCTTCGCGCGCGGGACTCGGCTTGCTTCTCGAAGCTATTGAGGTCGGCAGGAAGTCGAATGTAAATGTCCTCTGCATGAGTCATTACTGGGCGTTCCGGGAAAAGCCCGCCAAGTCTTTCCAGCATGAACAGTGACCAAAGAGTCCTCCTGCGAGCTTCAGCATAGCCCATCCTATTGAGTCCCAGAGGATAAATGGTCATGGCCGATTCCCGGGAGTGGTCGAGTTCTAAGCTCAGCTGCAGGCATGCAGCGCTAGCCGCTGCTGAAGATATCAGCTCATCGGCTTCTCGTGTACGGCAGGTCGAGATGTAATACACGGCAAGGAGGATCCTGCTTTGCACCAGCTGTAAGCACTGCACTCCCGTCATCCTTTGCGCGTAGTGAGCCACCTGAGCATATTCGAAAGCAATATGCTTAGGATCGCCGCAGAGCGCAGAGCCAACGGCAAGGGTGCTATAGAGGAGCATCAAGTCTTCAGGGGATTTTTGTCCAACAGAAGCCACGACCCAGCGCTGAAAGGCCTCCTCCGGGAGAAATTGTAGAATCATAGTGCTGTCCACATTGGCGAAAAACCTGGTCAGGGCACTGGTGATCAGGTCAGGGTTCGAGGCAAAGGGATCGGTCCGCCAAGCACGACCAAGAACATCGTCCGGGATCCTAGATGGCTCGGGGAGAAGTGGTAGCGGTGGCTGTTCGGCCATTCGAGGTTTGAGATAGTCCAATCGGCGATTGAACGAGGCAGGCGGTTCGCCGTTGGAAACGTACGCCTCAGATCCCAGCTTGAGCCTCTTGCTGTATCCGCGATCTGGAGATGAGGGTTGCATTGCTCGCGGCGATCTGGGAGAGCTCACATCACTGATCGAATGCCGTAGATCAGCTGCTTCGAGTTGTCGGCCATCGTCGAGCTCGACTGGCGACGTCGAGGGCGAAGTGTTATTGCCCCCTCTGGGCCTAGAATCACTGTGAGCACGATTCCGAGGGCATCTTGATGTAGAAAAGCATGGTTCATGCACTCACGCATTCTTGAATTTGCAAATGCGACCAAACTTTTCGCACTGGACACATCGTGGGTAGTCCGGGTCACACTTGATCTTCTTCTCCCTGCAAGTCACGCATGCAATAGCCAACCGCTTGCGAGGCTTGCCCGCCTTCGTCACGCCCCAGTGAGCGTTTACCGCCTCACCGTCAATGACGGTCTTGCAATGGCTTCCATCGTCGTAGAAATAGCACATGCCTTCGCCCGGTACCTCTGCTGCTCGCACAAATCTCGGTAGGAAGTGCGTGCCTGTCCAGATTTTTGGGCCCAGGCCATCTTTGGAAACGGCGATATCAGAGGGTATGGTGGTAGCTGTAGTTGCTGGCGGGTTGCCGTCCGAACTGGGAACTTGACTGGGTCGCCGTTCGGAGTAATCGTGGGTTGCATCTTTGTGCCCAGAGAGATGAGTCCTGAGTTGATCTTGACCTTGCGGATAAGATGAGTCGCGAGATCCCGCCGCCTGATAATCTTGCCTGCTGTCCTCGCGGTAGGCGGACCATTTGCGCGGCATTTCGGGTTCGTAACGCGCATCTGAGCCCCTGTGATCGTGGTTCGAGTATTCGGGCGACTGCGGCCCAGTGAAGGAAGATGTCGGGGCGTGGGCGGACTGTCTATCGTGGTAGTTGTAGACTGTGTCATAGAGACTTCTCGGTTGCAGCGGAGAAGGTGAAATAGTCTGTGGGAAGTAGGAGTTCGACAGGTTTCCATTCGACGATAGCCGTGGCCTGTCTAGGGGAGAGGGCGAAGGATATATTCCATTGCGCTCCGTGTGTGGAGAGCTCAGAGGTCTCATAGCTGATGGCGGGCCAAAGAGGCTACTCAACGATGGAAGCTGTTGTCCAGTGGACGAGGTGCCAACAGATTCCTGCCGACTCCGTCCATCATTCGTATTACCCTCTGCAGCCATGTCGACGGAGCCCTTGCCATAACGTGACATGGAAGCAGCAGCAAGAAGAACCGAACCACGAGGGCCCCAGGCAGCTTGCTCTTCTAGAGGCGACGACCTAGAAGAGAATGATGTTGCACTTGGGCTTATCAGCTCAGGTGGAGTGTCTGGCGGGGGAGCGCGATGCAGAGATTCTAGAGTTGGTAGTCCACCCATTGAGAGGAAGATAGACACTATTTGTTGGAGCAACGGCAGCTGTTAGAGTTGCATCTCCAAGGAAGCACGAGATGATCCTTCAGGAAGAAGAAGCGCCCAGCGACAAAAAGGAGCGGCTAAACAGATACTCTCGTCCTTCAGGTGTCCAACCGGGTTGCTCCACAGGCCAGGTATGGAGGGCAAAGTTTCCACACGCGCAACAACGTATGAATCGCCCAGAATAGTATTTGCTGGTCAAGTGAGTGCAGTGATCCAAGGTTGAAACCGGGCGCGACGCTTGTAAGTGATCAGGTGAGTGCGTGTTCTATGACACTTCTTCCAGCCAGAGTCTCGATATCGAATGGACCATGAAGGAATAAGACAAGAGTAGACAGGTTGCTAGACCTTGAGGAAAGATCTCGAGTCAACGGCCCAGCGGCAAGTGGCGACGTGTTGAGAATCTGGGGGAGGAGATGGGGAAGATGCGGGCGACGAGGTTACGAGGAGGGTATCAGTGGCTTTTGAGATCTAGGCCACCACTGCCCACAAAACGAAAAGAGTCTCGAGAAGCGGACAGGGTTGCAGAGAGGAGCTAGCAGGGTCCAGCCAAGTGAACGGCAGAAATAGAGTAGATACACCGAAGCAACCCCAAAAGGCAAACGAGACCAACAAGGGCAGTTCCCAATGAACCGGACGCGGCTGAGGCCCTGTAACGGACGGAATTCGTGCTTGTACAGAAAGCCTGGGCAAGCACTCGCCTATGGGTGCTGCTGTGTGGATACAAGGCAAATAACTACCATCTAGCTAGGCCGTTGGTCGGTATCAGTCTCGAGTCAAAAGTGGCCGGAGGGGGGGGTGGTCCATGATCCAGGAAGTCCCCAAAAGGACCATTCGATAGCGTCGCTCCGGACCTGAACTTGTGGATATGGAGCGTCCCAGCCCACCTTGCCACACGTGCTTGGTGGTCCACTCTGGTGTTGTTGCCGCGGCCCTATAGACCGGGACCTTGGATGCAGATTTGTCCAGGAGGGAGGAGGGAGTGCTGCTGGTACGATACCATACTCGCCGGTGAGCTTGGTGCATGCTGTACGAGGATACAGGTAGTATAATCTGAGATTATGGCGCCCCGTTGGCTCTGCTAGCAGTTAACGGACCCGTCGTCGTCATGTTATCATGGGGGGGTCCTGCTGGGGGTCAGAGCCCATGGTGATATGCTCAGGTGCTGGTGGCCCATGACGGAAGCATGGAATGCCGAAGGTCCTGGCTGCCTCGCATCGTCCGAGCGGGCCATAAGCCTCGTGCAGCTGCCAAAAGCCTGGCTGGCCTGACTGATGGGCATAGTAGTAGTATGCCAGCAGAGACGTCTCGCAGCATAGGTAGGCTGCTTGTTCGCCGATGCTGTCCAATAGCTGCCACAGCTGCGATGCACTGCCGGAAGAAGGATTCCGCGGCTGTAGCGTATGCGGCGTAGCCAAGGGGTCTGGCCGGTCTGGCGTCGGTATTTCCCCCAAACCGCCTCTGCCTCTGCGCATCCAGGAGATTTGGCGATTGTGGCTGGCGTCCGTACGAGGGCCAAGACCAGCTTGGGTCAGGGAAGATGCGGTCTTGATACTCAATGGGGTATCCTGGTCGCGCGCTAGAGGGACTGATGGCTGACCGGGGCCATGACGACGCGGCGTGGTTTGCGCAGAAGAGAAGCAGCAGAACACACGCACACGCACGGAAACAGATTGCGGCCACACCACATTTTGCCCTAGTCGGGAGGGCGTGCGCACAGCAAGCTGGATGAAGCGACGCAAGTCAGCCGCACCGCCCACACCCTCTCACTGACCGTCTGTCTGTCTGTCTGTCTGTCTGCCTGTCTGTGTCTGTCACTCCGGCAGGGGACGGAGCACCAGGGAGGCAGCGAAGCGCCAGCAGCGACGGGAGATGGACGGAGGATTGCGGAGATGGACGTCGTCTGGGGGATGCAAAAGGGCGTCTGGGTATGCCACAGCATATTGCCAGGTGGTTGAGGGGAGGATCTGAAGTTTGGAGATTATACTGGTAGGTACCTTATCTGTAGGTGCCTGAATAGGTAGGTATGTCCAATGCAGTGCGTGCTTTCTTTCTTTTTTTTTTTTTTTTTCCTGGCCGAGATCAAGAGAACACGAATGGCAGGAGATGATCGGGTCGCGGGGCACGCCGTCCAAGTGGAAGGAGCGAAGCCGTTCGGAGTACCGACGGCACTGGTCTACAGCATGAAAGGCACTTGCAGGTTCCTGGAAAGTGCAAAAGAGTATCACAAGCAACTACAGCCGGAGACTTTCCTGACGCTGGAAGCGGAATATCGTGCATTGCACCTGCCTGCACTTCAATACAGCTGCGTCGTACCTGCCTACGTAGGTACCTCACTACAGTACTCAGCAAGTACAAGGAAGGCGCCTGCCTACCTCGGGCTACCTACCGTACCTTACCGGTACCGCAGTAGTAGTAGGTTCAGAATGGTGGAAGGCATTAACTGGCAAGTGCCGAAAAGAGAGGAACAAAAAAAAAAACAAAAAAAAAACAAGGAAATCAACGTGGTTGACAGCCGATCTTACCATAATTTGAAATCGCTGCATATCAGCACCAAGGCACAGCTGCAACTTGCGTATTGTCATCCCTGATACATCTCGTACTTGAACCGCTCACCATGGCCAGCAATCCTGGAATTGGTTCCATTCTGTCACCTCGAGTCGTCGCAGACGCAGCGGCACTGGCAGGCTCCTTTTCTCAGTACAATCAATCCACCGTATTACAAATCGCCAGCCGTTGAGACGCTTTGCCGGTCTGTGCTGCAGCTACGCCCACGCCCACGCCCACGCCCACGCCCCTCTTGGACCGGCTTTCACTGCCAATGCCAATGCCAATGCCTCGCTACAGCCCGGCAGATCGAGGCATTCGATGGGCCAGGAGGCTCAGTCCACCACACAATGGACCGGGCGGCGAGTTGGGTTGCCGCCGGCATGTGCAGCGGCATCAGAAGGTCGTCCTGCCCGAGCCACGGCACGCAATAATTCCGCGCATGCCACGGAAGTGGGAGTACAGACATCAAGGGCCGCACAGAGCACCCATAGAGGAGGAGCCAATCTGACACCTCAGAGGCCGGCCAGCACCTGTAAGGTGATGCCATGGCTCATTTACTTGCCGCACTCTCCTCATGCTAACGTGCTCAGCCAGCGCCATGCTCATTACATGTACGAAAATTCACATCACACACCTACGCCAAATGTACCGCCACCCTCTGTTGTATCGCAGGACCCGACGCTGTTGCTTGCTGGGCGGCACCACTCCTTGTCACCTCCCTTCGGCCGCAGTTGCAAACAGAGTATCTGGTGCTGCGCGATTGACTGTTGGCTCGTCCATGATATCTGCCTAAACATATTTGCCATAGGCATGTTGGTCGAAAACCAGGCATGTTGGTCGTTGGCGAAGCCAGAACCGGGTGGCCACACTGTTGGCTGCTGCTCTCTCCTGCCTGGAGTATTTTGCAGGAGCCGGGCTGAGACAACCAAAAGTACCATGATTTGCGGGCCTCGTGCCCGTACATGTACCAGCCCTCCCTGCTGCTCGCTCCGGCAACCTGATGTCACATTACAAGGGTCGCCAGATGGAAGCGTTCAGGGATCTCTCGACAGGGTCTTCGGCGCACTAAAAAGGATGAGCTCGGCAAGCATTCCGACCTTCTGGGGTTGGTTATTATTGGAACCGGTGGTCGCAGTGGTGTAACCATGTGGGTGGGAGTGGACTGCAGATTCTCACATACAGCGGCGCGTCATGGATCAGCGCATCCGAAACATTTCAAGTGAGATATTGAACTGATTTCCCGATCGGTGGCCGCGGATGATTGATCCAAGCTCGCGCAGGCTTTGGCCGTTCGCTGATCAGCAGCCGGCGCAATCACACCAGAAACGTGCAAAGGCCCTCGATACAACCGCTTGGGCATCCAGCGGTGCGTTCATGTCCCTTGATGGCGTGAGTTGGCTCTGCCTGCATTCGCCTTCGTCCAGGCTCGTCCAGCTCGACGCCCGCTCTACCTGTATCTGTCCACTTCCTCCGACTTGCACACCAAGAGCAACTCCAAGATGTGGCCGCGCTTCGCGATAGTTGCAGGGGATCGGCTGACAATCCCACCTGCTTCATCCCACAGAAGGTTAATTAATCAACAATTTTCCCGAGCACACGGCGTCCAGGGTTGCCTCGTTGCTGTTACTTTCCTTGGCATGTGGGTGGGGACCCATAGAAGCAATGGGGACACCACTGCTATTACGTATCGAGGACGAGTACAAGCACTTGGTGCCACTACGGGCATGATGAGGAGGAGGAGATTGCCTGGCAACAACCTGGTAGAGAGGTGTGGTTAGGCTGCGTGGCAAGCCGGGTTTCTTGGTTCGGCAGTCGAAAGATTCGCTATGGCCTGTGCACAGCTTGCCGCTCCCGACACAAGGGGAAAAAAAAAAAACGTTTTCCCTGAGAAATCACGACAGTCCGACGGCATCAAGGGCATACGCCTATGCAGCATTATTACTTACTCGTATGGCCATGTTTCCAGAAGTCGTTTGGCCAGAGAGCGACAAATTCGCTGCCACAGTCCTTTCTAGGAACACTCCATACCAGATTTGGCCCCTTGCATCGGGCCATGTAGGGAGTTCCGTCCACTGTCCTCGGTCCATGCTACTCATCCGGAGCAGTACAAGCAATGTCCTTGTTGACATACAGGAGCAGGTTTTGCAAGTCTAGCCTGGCATACAAGGTACAGCATCGAAGTTGTCCCGGCCCGTTGTGCTGTTGGTTTGCTCGTTCGG